AAAAAAAAAAAAAAAAAAAAAATAAAAACAAAAAATAATCTTTTTTTTTTTTTTTTTTCCTCCCTCTCTTTTTTTTTTTTTTTTTTTTTTTTTTTTTTTTTTTTTTGGCATGTTGACTAATTTTGGCATGCTGACACACTCTTCTTTCTCAGCTTTCTTTTTTTTTTCCCAAATTACGAGGGGATGCTTACATCTCCCTTTAGTGTACAAAATATCAAACCCAGTCTGACGTTTCGCTGTGTATGAAGCCCAGAAGCATCCGTCTGTCCGTCCGTCCATCTATCCGTCCGTCCATCCATCCATCCATCCATCCATCCATCCATGTAGTAATTTTGTAGATCGGTTTCCTTTCAAAAAACATAGCATAACTTATTTGTGCAGTAGCTTGCTCCACAAAAACTTCTTAAAATGCCTCTGAAACTTTAGATGATATCTGGGGTGCTGTGGTGGTGTAGGGTTAAGTACAACTCTCATAAGAAGGCCTTAGTCCTCGATGCAGCCATCACAGGTTCGATTCCCGTAATGGTGACCTTTACCACATGTCTTCTCTCTCTCTCTTTACCTACTTTCCTGTTTCAGCACTTTCAAACAAAGATCACTAGTGCCCTTACAAACATGATTTCTGCCAAACTGGTCAAGTTCAATTCCCCATATGGAAAATAGAAAATCATAACAATCCCTTTGGTAATATGCAGCATGTTACAAACTTCAGTATAATGCCAACAGCAGCTGACAGCTTAGTCAGGAGTAGTCATCCACCCAGAGGAAGAGGAGCTCTTTGGTAGATGAGACCTCAGCATCGCCGTGGCAGCAGTATTGGCAGATTGAAGCCAGATAATACGGATCACTGTGTGTATTAAAAAAGCAAGTTGGCAAACAAACCAAACACTGTGCTGATGCTGCTTGCCTTTAGCAAGCTTATGAACCTTGTAGCTTCTGATCCCTATAAGTGAAAACCTGACAGTTTGACAGTACACCAGAGAGTTTAATACAATCATCCAAATGTTCAAGACCCTTCATAAACAAAATGTCCTGGTCCAAATTCAGACTGTGCTCAGACATGAGGTCATCTAAAAGTTTCAGACATTGCAAACGACTCAAATGTGTTTTTTCTTCCAAAGCCTCCCTGAAGATTAAAAGATTCTAAGCTTGCAAACGGACTTATGGAAAGTAATTTTGATTTAAACAAAAGCGACTTTGTCCTCATTTGACCCATAGATGACTTGTAATATGTATGTGTTTTCCCTGAAAGGGTTCATGTCTAATATAACTAGATTAGCAAATTTGACAAAAAATACCAATTTGTATTTTGGGGCCATTTTAGAATGTTGCTGATAACTTACTATACCATAATAAAAAACTGTTTTATTGCGCCACTTGTGGCGGAAGCATGTTGGAGCAGCTAGGTTTTCAGCCCTATGATGTAGGACTGAAACAATTAATCAAATTGACCCTGATTAATCCTGATTAACTGATTTTTGAAATGATCATTAACTAATCCAGTAATCCATTAATCATGAACTGGCCTTTCTTTGAGTAGACTCAAAAAAGACTGTTTGCTACAAGTAACTAAGCAAAAATGGTACAAAAATATATATACATTTAGATTTATGATAAAAACTTTCTTTGTCTGTAAATCTGTTCTAGTTGTAGTTTTAGCTTCACCTGGTTCAAATTCTATAAAAAACAAAATATCCTATTAAGCACATTTTGCTATACAATTAATACTTGGTTAGTGCAAAAATTAACCAGTTAATCCTCCCAAAAAATGATAGAATAATCGATTAATTAAATAATTGTTAGTTGCTAATATATCATGTCATTTCATTTTATTTTGAGCCAAATAGCTGAATGATGAACATTCTGACATTAATGCTACAGTTGCTTTGTGTTCCACCAGGGATGGAGATCTGGCTGACAGTCCACGTGCTTCTTCCTGTACACTGAGAGCGAGTGCTGAGTCGACCTGTACAAAAAACATGCAACCAAGATGAAAATGTGGATTTTCATCCTGTGCCTGAGTAATGAATGGATACAGACAGCTTCTGCTGCCAGTGTGACCCCAACTCCCTCGTCTCAACCCGCTACACCCACCGAAGATGAGAGCACCCAGATGGTGGTAAAATAACAGATAGTTTTTATTAAACAATATTTGATCCGTGAATTTAGGTCAGATTATTTTGATACAGCGGCGCATTTGTGAAACATATCAGAAGAGAATTAGTTTCACCAATACAGACAAGAAGTACATCTTGTTTGGTAGATATACAGTGTTCAAAGGTACTCTACTTGTTTTTACAGGCTGCTATGGTAGTCTAGTTCACAAAGATAGACTTACACTGAGAAAAATGAACTCATTAAAGTGAGAAATAATTTCAGAATCACTTTCCACAAACAGATTTCTGACTTTAAATTGAAGTTTCAGTGATCCAAAGGGACGATGTCCTACCAAGTCTGGGATGGCTCATTAACCAAAAGCAAAGACAAGGATTTTATATGAGAGGCCTAATTAAATAATTGAGGCAGAAACAAATGTTCTTTTCTGTAGGATTGGTTGATCAAGTATGGCTACCTGCCCCGGTCAGACCCCTCCACTGGGCAGCTACAGGCCTGGACAGCTGTCACTGACGCTGTCAAAGCCATGCAAACATTTGCCGGCCTCAAAGACTCCGGAGTTTTAGGTGAGGACGACACCCAGTGTTGGACTGACAGTTGATCTACTCCTCTGACCCGAGGTTTAAATGTGAATGTATCTTTCTGTACTTGGACTGTCTAGATGAGGAAACACTGGTGCTGATGAAGAGCCCACGCTGCTCCCTTCCTGACCAAGATGGACCATCCAAGTTACTGGTCCTCCAGCAGGGGAAGGAGATACGGAGGAGGAGGAGATCTGTCTCCATGTGGACCCACAGGAACATAAACTGGAGGTTGGATGGAAGTCTATTATAACTCTTCTTACTCTGCCTAATTGCACACTGGTGTGTATCATTCATTTCACCGAAAAATAATAATAAATATCGGCTTTTTAGACCAAGGAAGGGCATGCTAGGTCTGGCTTAAAAGAAAGTGTTAAGCTTGCATTTCATGTTGGAGTCAAAAGGGTCTGATCAGATCAGAAATTGGGGGCTCGTCCAGGATACCAGAACTTGTACCGTAACCTGAATTTGAAAGAGCAATAGATCTGTATCCTGTAGCTGTAGTGACCCAGCAGTTTGTGTCTCTATTTACCCTTTGAACTTGAAGTCACTCTCTTCAAAAAGCGTTCCATTCCATCATGGCGGATGTCAAAACAACCAATACCTGCGTTAACTCCTGTAATGATTGCACAAAAACAGACAGTTGACTAATACTGCTTTTATTTAGAAATGGTCACAGGGTGCTCAACAGATGCACAAACAGATGAGGATGCAAACCAAACTTGTCATTTTATCATAAACCTTCTGATGAGAAAAGAAGACGGCGATGGATAACAGCTGCCAATCTTAAGAACTGGCAGCTCTTGACATATTTGCAGATTTTCAATAAACACTTTTTTTATAAAGTAAGAAGATTAACCTTCCTATACTTCATGAGTCATCAAGATTAGTGAGATGCAATCAAATATTGCATTATGGAGAAGGTACATGTCTAATCAATAATAAGAAAATGCCCCACTATCATGCTGCCTAGCATGTACAAAAAAACTGGTTAGCATTTAGGCCTTTGTACGCTTTTAAGTCTCCTCCGGTGTAAGGGGAAATGGTGTCTATGACATAGTGGAATAAATCATGTGGCGTGAATTCAGAAAAAGTCAGGAATTTGATTAAATGAACAAACAATTCAGTGGAGAGAAGGTATGGGTTGGTTTCTAAGTTAGCTACTTACTTTGTAACTATCCCAAATAGGGCAATTATTATTTTTCTTTCACTTTGCCCTTCTCTTCTACTCACAGAGTATTTTCACCTTCTTAGGTTGCAATCCTACCCTTCTTCTTCACACCTGTCCAGGGAGATGATTCGTTCTCTGGTCTTCTATGCTCTAAGAGTCTGGGTAGAGCCAACGTCGCTGGAATTCCATGAGGTTGGCACATTTGTTTGATGGTGCTTGTAATAAAATACAATAAAATAGGAGATTCACCTCTTGGATTTTATGGAACAAATGGGGACAATCCTCTAATTGGATAATTAAAGCCTGGATTATTAGGTTTCAGTGAAAGAATGTTGTACAGATTATTGAGGCAGGGGGCCTATCTACTTCTATCAACTAAAATGCCATTGAAGTGCTAAAGTTTGTGGATACCATGGATACTGTTGTTGGGTGCTGTACTCTGCTGATTTGTCTTGCATCCAGGTGGGCAGCCCAGAGGCAGCTGACCTGCAGGTAGACTTTCTCCAAGGTTACCATGGTGATGGCTATCCCTTTGATGGAGTGGGTGGAGCAGTGGGTCATGCTTTCTTCCCTTCAGATCCTGCCAGGGCAGGAGGAGTTCATCTGGATGCAGAGGAGCAGTGGGCTTTCAGACAGCCAGGTCAGGCTGCACTTATTTATTAATAAAAGAACAAAATAATACCTTCATTTTAGAGTGTTTATGCTCTAAAATGAGCATTAACACTCATTTATGTTCATTTTAGCATAAATGAGCAAAAATTTATGCTAAATTTTTGCTCATT